ACTAGTGCTATACCTAGGACTAGTGCCTTGTGATTCTCGTAAGGATTTATTTTAATGACATAAACAGTTGTAAACATTCTATTTGAATACTTCATTAAGTTGCCACAAGACTAAGATGTTAACTTTATTGCAACTACTATTATTTACAGGTGAGGAAACCGAGACATTTAAGATATTCAGAATGCCCAAGGTTGCACAGCTAATGAACAGTCAAATCAGAATTTGAAATTAGTCCAAATGACCTGAGTCTAAACTGTTCTTACAATGAGACCTTTTTTCCTCCCAGGAAGAGGGCAGGTGGCCTATATACCATGTTTCTAAAGAGAGGAATGGGTGTCCTTTTAGTTCCTGTAAATACTCCAAAAGATATATCTCCTATCTAATTTCTGAAGTTAATGCTGCCTTGGTAGAAAACAAAATCTTACATTTCATAGACAATAGTAAACCTCTGTAAACATTAGCATAGTGACTATATTTAAATAATGATTTTAAGAACCAAAGGAAAATAGGATGTCTGAAGTCTTTTGGATACTAGTTGTCTAGTTTACAATGTAAGCACAGACCTGGAGATAGCAGAGACAACTTACTGCTTAACATTCAATACTGTCAGGGATCAGTGGCACATGCTCTAAATTCTCATATCCTATTTTGCCTTATATTACATTCAAGGCTTTAGGTATGTGTTCATTGCAATGCTTTATACAAAGCACTTTCTACTGTATGAAACGATAAATCAGAAATATGTCCTGAATTCAGGTAGGTTCTATCTTGTTTTTAAATAATTATGATGCTGTTCTCATCACTACAACAGAGATGAATTTGTAAGCTAGGTTCACTTCCAAAGGGACTTCATAAGGAAAGCAACTGGATCATAACACCACCCCTCTCCCAGTGGAGAGGATAACTAAAGCTCTAGACCCCTGGATGTCCTCATTCATTCACTCACTCCCATGTCCCCTGAAACCTGCTAGTGAAGCAGTAGACAAAATGATATTCATTCAACTCAAACTCACCATGTGCTTGAACATGAAATAAGTAAAATAAAATATAAGAGGGGATATTTTGGGGTTTGCATTCACCAAACTGGGACTCAAAGAGTAAATTGATGGGGAGGAGATGGGAGAAGTTGGACTGTTGAAATCATGATGGAGGATACCTCAGCTGCAAAGATTCAAGGACATGTAAGTGAGCAGAAAGGGCACATGTTTTCTGTGTTTGTTATAACACTACAATGTCCTTCTAGGATTTTTTTCCAATATTGTCTATCCCCCATGCTAGTACAAAGACTTTAAGGAAAATATTAATGTGAAATTAGATATTTTGCAGCTGAAAGCTCAAGCCTGATACATGATGAATCCTTATCCTATGCTTTTACAGAAATCAAATAGTTTGTTATCTGCTGTTTCATCATCTTTCCATCAATTGAATTACAGTTTAATGGGGCTGCTCCTTCCTTACCCAGACCATCATTCATGCTGACTGAGGTCTGTTTCCCTCTCTCTTCCCTCTCTCATATCTGTCTTTGCCTCTGCCTCTACCTCTGCCTCTGCCCCTGCCTCTGCATCTGCCCCTGCTTCTCTCTTTCTCTTTCTCTCTCTCTCTCTCTCTCTCTCTCTCTCTCTCTCTCTCTCTCTCTCTCTCTCTCTCTCTCTCTCTGTCTCAGAGACATACACATTGCCTTTGTGTGTTACAATATTAACCCATGAACTGAAAACATCATATCATAGTGATATATGTGTACCTATGTTTATAGCAGCACAATTTGTGACAGCCAAATCTTGGAAACAACCAAGATGCCTGTCACATGAAGAATGGTTGACAATATTAACCCACATTTGGTGATCAGCAACAGCTGAAAAGACTGTTCAAAAGATTAGAAAAGCCCTGTTCCTCAAGAAATACATTTCAACTTGATTTCTCTACATAAGCCATCAAAGATTCCCTTTGAAACTAGTAAGATATGCATCCTAAAATCTTGTTATCATAGCCCAACTCTCTGTGCAAGTATTTTCAAAGAAAGTTGGATTACCTCATACAATTTGTTGCCACCAGCTATAGCTGCTTGATAACTTGATAACTTGCATTATCTCCCCTTAAGAATTGATTTTATAATGACTATAGTGTCTACAAAGAACCAATAATGAATTATCAGTTTGTTTTGCTTTGCTTTATAGGTTTTGGTTTCAAAATATTGTATTTGATGATGCTACTGACTAGTTAAAAACAGATGAATAGTTGGGGAGGTAGCTCTGCAGTCTAAGTCCCTGCCTGACAAAGAAAAGGACACAGGTTCAATCCCTGGTACTGCATGCCTGGCTGGGCCTGTGCTGAGCCTGCCAACAAAACTGGGCATAATTGACCGGCGCTGGAAAAGGACGAGATGGAGCCTCCTTCTTTGTTTTCGTTCCCTTTATTTTCACGTGTCCTTCTTCCTCCTCTCTCTTCTTCTTCTTCCTCTTCTTCCTCTAACCCCTCCTTATATCCCCTCCCCGGACCTATCAGTGGGCACCACGTACATCGCCTGACGTGGGCAATAGGCCAATAGT